GGAGTAACTCCTGAGTGCAAAGCCAGGAGTAACCCCTGAGCATCGCTGGGTAAGACCCAAAAAGCAACAAAAAAAAAAAAGAAAAGAAAATGACATGCTCAGGATTTGCCCTTAAACAATTAACGATCACTTGGTCGACAAGCCTTTATATTAGTCTTTATTTTCTTATTTTCATTTTTATATCAAAGTCTTTAACAATAATATGGTGAATTGGCTACTCAGTTGCAATTTTTCTATTATTTTATCACCTGTAAAGAAGTTTAGGTAATCAACTATTTTCATCAACCTCATTTGAGACTAAGAACTCCCTTTTGTTGACTGATTAATGGCAGTGTATGAAGAGACGATTAGCTGTAGTTGGGCAGTGGTTCTGTATCTCCCTCACATTCTAGTTTTATATACTCTGCTGTGGCCCCTACTACCGTTCGCTCCACACTGATTGAGGCCAGTGATTAGTGGCAGAGAATAGGAGCTGACTTCCCACAGCCAAGCACCACTCCTCACCATGCCCTTACCCTTCACCCTCTGACTTTCCACAGCCAAGCAGCACTCCTCACCGGGCCCTTACTCTTCACCCTCTCTCTTTCTTTCATCTCAGTCCAGCGCCAACTCTACGACTTCCTCCCCTTCACCCACCTTTCCTGATGAGGCTGAGATCTGCTCCCCCTGAAACAAGAACAAAATTTCATTCTTAGTCTTCTTAAGTGGAGGATTCTCTGCATCTCTCTGCATTTTTAAGATGGTTGTTGGGGTTGATTTGCTGTCCAAACATCAATTCTTTTCCCATTCTTTGCCAGCTGGCTATGCTACTCTCATCTCCTGCTCACCGCTGTTATGTGGTGGTTTGGAAACAGCCTTACTCACTGGACTGGACTATCAAAACTGTGGCATGGTTTTCCTCTCCAGCATCTGCTATCATCAATAAAACTTCATTATCCTTGTAGTTGACTCACCTAATATCCTAGACTTTTGGTTTTGTGATCTCTACTCTACCTTAGCAATCTGATACCTGTGTCATTTCCTTTCTCCAAATGCTGGATCTGCTGAAATAATCAACGCAGACATTCCCTCTCTGACAAATCTTTTGGTCTTTTTGGTTTGCTGGTTCAAAGACTTCCAACAACCCTGTGCTGTGACAGCACCTGATCTTCCTGTCCAAATTTGTACCTGTCCTCTTCTGTCCATCAGCTTCCTCCTGTCCTTCTCCTCTCTCCTTGGTACCTAATTTTATTCATTCTCTAAAATTTTGACTCTTTAATTGAAACTATTTGTATATCCATGTTGTTATGATGTTATATGAACCCAACCATTTTCCTTTCTAGCTTGGGCATAAGCATAAAATTATGCAATTGAAAATTGCACTGACAAAGATAGTTGGAAATGATCACTCTAAGAACTGCTTGCTGAAAATAGGTAAAAGAACAAATAGGATAACCTCTCAGTATCTGTGTTTCAAACCATAATACCCAAAAGTGGGGAGGGGGATAGATGGGGGGGGGGACAGACAGAGACAGACAGAGATGGGGAAAAACAGGCAAAGCGAGAAAGAAGGAAATTGCCAGCTGTAGAGAGAGGCTTGTGGGGGAAGAGTGACGGGAGGGAAACTAGGGACACAGGTGGTGGGAAATGTACACTGGTGGTGGGATTGGTGTTGGAACACTGTTTGACTGAAATCTGACCATAAATGGCTTTTCAACTCTTTATCTCTTGGTGATTCAATTAAAGAAAGAAGAAAAGAAAATGCATAACTAGACAGGTTGTTATTATGAAAAAAATCAAGGCACTGATTCCAACTGTCATTGAACACTTGCCAGAGACCTTATCAACCTTGTTTGGTTGTTATTTGTTTTTATTTTGGGGCATCACCTGGGTATGCTCAGGCCACTCCAGGCTCCGTGCTCAGAGATCACTGTGCTTGGGTGATGATATGTGGTGCTGTGAGCAAACCAGGATCAGCAGTGTGCCAGGCAGGCGCCTACCCTATACAGTCTCAAGCTTTTAATCCAAGTTTTAAAAGTTAAATTCTGCTGTTCTACTTTAGTGATTGTGAAATCCATTCGTTTTTCCCCTGTGTCTTTTTCAGGAGGTGGTCTGGCCTCCCAGCTCAAAGCTGTAAAACTTTGACATCTTTCAACCTAAAGAAACTGTCTGGAGCTAAACCCACCCACCCTATCCTCTCCAACCCAATGTTTCATCCAAGGCATAGTTCTTTTGTCTGTGTCAGCTGCTCCCCCTTCCTCAGGAAGCCTTACTCAGATATCTCTAGGCATTATTTGTCAGTGTTCTTTGTCAACCATATCTTCTCTACTTGGTCTATAGACTCTTTTAAAGGCTCTGTCATATCAGTTCTTTAATTGCACTTTCACTACATTCTCTTTCTAGACAACCTCCTCTCCTTTCTATCTGTGTTATGATATCTGTGTGATGATAACTATCAAGATATTATGGGAAATTATTCCTCTTCCATCCAAGGTGAAACAGTATATCTAACTTTTACCCAGGTCTAACTTGCATAATTTAGGGTCACCTCAACCATATGTGAAACATGTAATCGTTTTCATCCCCTCACATATCAATTAAAGTTTCAACTTCTGTATTTTTATGGATTTGAAACCACAAACCACCTAATTGTCTCAAACCAAGAATCTGGTGGTTACCTTCACCTTCTAGTTGTCCTTCACCCATTCTAAATAAATCATATGCAAAGTCTTATTCATTACTCTTTGGTATCTCAAATTACAGTCTTATCTTTATTTCGGTTAGTCTTTGGTCCAACTACTATTACAAATCTTTGAGATAACTTGAGAATATTAGTGGGCTTATTACGTACACTTTTTCTTCTTTCTTTCTTTCTTTCTTTCTTTCTTTCTTTCTTTCTGCCTTCTTTGGCTGAGGAATAGAAAAAAAGAAAATGGCTTACATATAATGTGAAAAATTCACTGAGACTCCTAGATGTAATCAATGTCTCAATTAAAATTTAGAACATTTCTATTATTCAGAAAGTTCTTTTGTATGCTTTTCTAGTCATTCTTTGCCCAAATAATCCTAGACTGGAGCAAGTAGCCCGGGTTATTATACCATAATCTGTTTTGCATTTTTATGTATTTCTAATTTCAAAGTATGCTGCCTTGTGTCCAGTATAAGGTTTATAGAATCCCAGGGGTTGGAGCTATATAGTGCAGCTGCCCCAGGGTTCAATTTCCAGGACTCCATGTGGTCCCCAACGCACCACCACCAGTGGTCCCTGAGCGCAGAGCTAGAAGTAAGCTCTGAGCCCCAACACCAAAATGAAAGAAAAGAACATAAAAGTATTTATAGAATTCCATGAATAATTCTTTTGTATCAGGGAGAAGCATTCTATTACAGGGATTTATCACAATTTGTACACTAACCAGTGGATAAATATTTGGATGAGTTCCAGTTTCTCTAAAGCTGATGTGTATTTTTATACAGTTTGTGTATACATATGCTATGCTGTCTTATCTTCTAGGGAGAAATACAAATGGAGTTGCTAATTATGTATTTACATTTAATTTTCTAAGGAATTTGCCACCATCACATTTGCTGCCTATTTATGAGGATTCCAGTGGCTTGCATTCTCAGCAACTATAAAATTATTGGACTTTTAGATTTTACCCTTGAACATTTTTTCTTTTTTTTTTATTTAAATCAGTTTTCTTTCAGAATTTCCAACATTGACAACTCTTATAAAAGCATCCGAGCACAGGGTACAAGACCACCAACCGCATCCTAGGGGTGGGCAGGCCCCAGGCCCCCCCCCCCCCCGCCCCACCGCCCTCACTGGCGACTCAGCTCCGAGATTCCTGTACAGCACACAAGCTCAGCCCACCAGCGCCAGGCCACATGACCACACCAACAGATCAGGAGCAGGAGAGGACACGAGGACAGACACCATACAGCATTCACAGCAGTTGACAAGGGGGCGGGCAGATACAGTATCGTGTCACTAACACATTCAGCTAACGTTGGTTCGCTAATAGTAAGACTCACTTCAAGTCTTCCAACAGACGTGGATGTCCTTTGAATGCAAGAAACATTCGTACATATGTTATCTGCTAACATGGCTCTCCGCACACTCTCGCACCAAAGCCACAGGTTGAGAGACACATCTCGCCCAGTTAAAGAATCTCCATTATGCACCACCAAGTCTCTGCACGCGCTCTCCTGTCCTCGCTCATACCAGCCTCTCATGCCCCGGCACCACCATCAATCCCACACAAGGTTTCAGAAATTCAGACAGCCTTCTGGTCCACAGCACAGCCTTGCCGTCACAGCGTTGATCCGACTCCAGGAAAGAAAGAGTAGCGGATAAAAATGGGACACCCACCGTCAGAGACGCAGTCTGGGCGGCGTGGGGACGAGCTCTTGCGTGCGTGGGCAAAGCAGCGGACAGAGCCCCACGGCGCAGTGAGTACAGCACTCCTGTCAGTGAGTGCTTCTTCCACAGACGTTTGAAATGAGATGAACTGCAGAGATTAAATGAAGGCTTCATATCGTACTCTCGCATATGAGCGGAGACAAGTGTTAAGAAAACACACAGAAAGAAAAGAACCAAACATTGCAACACCACGATCTCCAGGGACCTTCCTAAGGAGAAAATCCGTATGGTGGGGTTCAAATTAAAACGAGGAGGAAAGAATGCAGCTCTAACCAATGGGTTCCACTTTGAACATGCAAATAACTCAGGTGACAAGTCCAGGGATAAAATATTACAGGAGAAGCTTCTTGATAGCAATTGTGGTGTTGGTTTACCCGTCAGGCAAACAGCAGTTCACTTTCAAACACTCAAGAGTTCAACCCGTTATGTAAGAAAACTTAGAAAATTCCTTTAGCTTTTCCTCTTTTTCTAAATGAAAAATGTCAAAATTACTGCTAAATATACTCCACACCAAACAAACCAATTTTGAAAATTCTTAGTGCATATGTATCTTACAATATACTTACCATGAGTTTAGAAAAATTTGACTTCCCACCAGTCTTTAGCGTCTAACTGACCAGCCCAGCCTACATGCCCCAGCCCGACGACTTCGAGTCCATGCTGGAGCTGAAGTCCATGCATTGAAGCCGCTGCCCGAGCCCGCGTTGGAGGCCGACCCCCACCCGATGGCGGCGCCCGAGTTGGAGCCGATGTACTGGTTGTTCCCAGAGCCAAAGGCCTGGTAGGGCTCTCTCTGCATGTTGGCCTGTCTCTGGTTGTTCCCTGACGGGCCGGACTGGTTCTGCTGACTGGCTAGCATCCCCATCATGCCCCAGCTGCTCTGCAGGGTGGCCTGGGTCGTGGCCCTCATGGCCGGGTGGACGCTGAAGGCGCCGAAGTTCATCCCGCCCCCCATGTTGCTGCCCTGGTTGTGGCCCAGCCCCGCCCCACCGCCCCGGCTGTTCCCGAGCCCGCCCTGGCTCCCAAAGCCACCCGGATTATCACCAAATCTTCCACTTCTCTCTAACTTCCTATTGCTATTGTGCTTGGGCTCAGCGTTGCAGATATGCACGCAGAGGATGCCTTTGATGATCAGGTCCTCGCCACACAGGGACTGGGCCACCTGATAATCTGCAAACGTGACGACAGCAAACGCCCCCCCCCCCCCCCAAGGGCTTGGGGATGAACACATCGACCACCTCCCCATACTGGCAGAAGAACTGCCGCAGCTCGTCGGCAGTGAGGTCCTGGGTGCAGCGGCGCACAGACACCTTCCTGCTCCTCAGAGGCTCATCCGGGCTTTGCTTAGAATTTGGGAGTTTGCAGTCACACCACCGTCCATCAATCATGTGTCGCTGAGACATCACCTTCACTTGGGTCTCATACTCCGTGAACCGCACAAAGTCAAACCCTCTTTTGGTGACCAGTCTTGATATCTTTTTTTTTTACCTGGACCATGAGGACCTCCCCGAAGGTGCTGAAATACTCCTTGAGGTCCTGCTCGGTGGTCTTCCAGGGCAGGCCGAGCACGATGGGGTCAGACGTCTTCTGCACTGCCCTTTTCACCTTCACCACCGACGAAGCATCAGCCTCCTCCATGTTCCTTTTGTTATCTTTGGGGTAGTTGACCACGTAGACTCGGTTGCCCACGTCGGGCGCGTGCAGGATGCCCTCCACCAGGCGCGCGTATGGCAGGCATGCACTGCGACATGGGGTTCCGGTAGCGCAGGCCGCAGGCGCCCGGGAACTGCGCCGTGACCGTGGACAGCAGCACGATGTCATCGTCCTCGGACGGGATCTCGACGGGCTCGTCGTTCTCGTCCTCCTCCGTGACCCGGATGTACTGGGACATCTTCGCCCGTTCGGCGTCCGCTAGGCCGCTGGAAACCCACGAGGCAGCGCGCGCAACGACAGCGACCACCACCGCTCGCTCTCGCCTCGCACTAACCTTGAACACTTTGATGTATTTATTATTCATGTATTTCTATATTCTTCGTGACGTGACTATTCAAGTATTTTACACATTCTTAAATCGAGCTCTTTGGGTTCACCGATGTCTTCTATTTTGCATAATTTTTAAATTGGATTTAATTGAAATGTCATCTTGTTGTGGGACTAGACATCTATGTGCTTTTGAATACATTAGAAAGGAATTGGTGGGACCAGAGAGATAGACAGCAGGTAAGGCACCCTACTTGCACACGGTCAACTCAGGTTCAATCTCTAGCACCCTATGTAGTTCCCTGAGCCCTGTTAGGAGTGATCCCTGAGCCCAGAGCTAGGAGTAACCCCTGAACAGAGCTGGGTGTGGCATCCCACCTCAATTGAAAAAAATTGAAAAGGAAAGCAATTGGCAAGAACTAGGCTTAGAATTTAGAAAAGAAAAACATTCACTGAGGAGTTAAAAATACCCCCCCCCAAAAGAATTAGAACTATATGTTTTGCTGACTGCATTTGGAAGAGATTGATAAGAAAGAAATTGACTTTGATGCCATAGAGAAAAGAGATGAGAGTGACTTCTTAAGTTTCCTTTCTGTCATTTTTTATAGCCATTTACCCTGATTTACTTTACTGTTTGGACTGATTTTCTTCAATCAACCCAAAGCAGCTGCTTACTTTAGAAAGCAGAATATGTGGGAAAACATTTCAGTTCCATCATGCAATTAGTAATGACAACAAATCCAGCACTTCTGTCAGGTATGATCCAATGCTGAGGTAAGCTAGCATATGAGCACACTAAACAGAAATGATGGCCACTCAATACCTCGGTTGCAAATCACAATACCCAAAAGGAGAGAGAGAACAAAAGGGAAAGCCCTGTCACAGAGGCAGGGTGGAGAGGGGGAGGGGGTGGGAAGGTGGGAGGGGTACTGGGATCATTGGTGGTGGAGAATGGGCACTGGTGGAGGGATGGGTAACCGATCATTGTATGACTGAAATGCAAAAATGAACGTTTGTAAGTATGTAACAGTATCTCATGGTGATTCACTAATAATAATAATAATAATAATAATAATAATAATGAATGGCTTCTTCTTCCTGGGTCTCCTGTGCTCATTTGAAGAACAGTATATTTTTCAGGTCTTAAAGTTTGAATAGCGGGATGTCAAGTGACCAAGTGAAAGAATTTCATGAGTGCTCCATGAAATTCTTTATGACATCCCTGCTGAGAATGGTGTCTATTGTTTTCCAAACATGCTGTCTCCTTCACTTTCTTCATTTCATACCATTTTCATCCTCAGTATGAAGAGGATCTTTTGGTAACTTGGAATTATGCTATGGAGTGATCCTAGTCAGCAAGAAAGGTTGAGTTCCCCCCCCCCATGCCCCTCCCAGCCCCCCTCACCATCCATTTTATATAGGAGTTCCCTTTTTTAAAAAAATTAATTAATTAATTGATTAAGTTTTATTTTTTAATGAATCACCATGAGATGCAGTTACAGACTTACAAACTTTCTGCTTACGTTTCAGTCATACAATGATCGAGTACCCATCCTTCCACCTGTGCCCATTCTCCACCACTAATATTTCCAGTATCCCCAAAAGGTAAAGATTCTTAAGCACTTGAGTCAGCCACTTCAGACTCTCAATTCCAGCTGCACCCCATGGCTCTTGGTTATGTTCTCAGGTATTGCTTGTTCCAAAGGAAAGTGGCATATATTGTGCCCACATCTCCACAAATCTTCCTCTGCCTTAAATTTGTGGAGAGCATGATCTCTATAAAACTTGCAGGACTGGGCTGGAGCGAGAGCTTTTACCTTGCACCCAGAGGATCTGGGTTTGATTCTTGGCACACCATAAGGTTCCCTGAGTAAAGCCACTGATCCCTGAGTGCAGAGTCAGGAGCAAACTCTGAGCAATGCCAGATGTGGCCCCCTCAACAAAACACCACCATCACTACCAACAACAAACCCCCCCGACAAAACTCGAGGAATTGGAAGGAATGTCCAAACAGAATGAAAGGCAAAGGAATCTGATTAGTTTTGTGACTGAACTATAAACAACCTGGAAGATGTAGGCAATTGGAAAGTTGGCTTTTAAATTATCCAACTTTTTTTAGGATGAGAAAAGGACTGATCCTAATTTAATTTAGGAAAGAATTCCTTACTAGTGAGCTTTGAAAATTGAAAATAAAACCAAAAATGAACCATAGGCACTTTGAATTTTCATTTCAGATCCCCCAGTTTATTACTGAGAGTTCTCAGCTGATCTTTCTTTTTTCTTAACAATGTTTTATTTTATGTATCTATTTTTTAAATTTAATTTTACTTTTGTTGTTACTGTGTCTTACTTTTGTAAAGTTGTTCACAATAATTTGATACATGTAATATTCCAACACCAATCCCACCACCATTACACCTACCCACCACCATATTTTGAATGTTTCCACACAGACCCCCAAACCCTGCCCCCAAACCAGGACTAAATAATTTATTTTGCATTGCTTATGAATAATCCTCAGGTGATCTTCTAATTTAAGGTTTTGTTTTGTTGGCAGTGCTTAGGGTTTAGTCTCGGCTTTACTCTCAGGGATTACTCCTGAGGTGGGGACCATATGGGATGCCCAGAATCAAACCCAGGTCGGCCTGGTGAAAGGCAAATGCCTTGCCCGTGGTACTATCGCTCCAGCCATGAACTTTTATTTAACTGTCTTAGAACAACTTCCTGTTTCTCTGTCCCTTCTGGTCATTGTCCAAGAAGGTCTTCTTATTTCTTTTTTTCTTAATTCAAAATATTATTTTTGCCATTTAATTAATTCATTTTGCCTTTGTGCTGTGGTTTACGGATTTGTTCATGATGGTCTGGCAGAGGCATTCAATATTCCAACACCAACCCACAACCATTACATCTTCCCTCCACCATTGTCTCCAATCTTTCCTACCACCCCTTAAGCCTGCCCCTATAGCAGGCCCTCAATCATTCATTTGATATTTCTTTCTATCAATGATTTGCTAAGAGAATGATTAAAAAATATTTCTTTAGGAGAATGTTAGTGAGGAGTGTTGTGTCTCACTTTAAAGTCATTAAGGTTTTGTCAACTCTTTGTGATTTATTTGTGAATCTGAAATAGGCCCACTTTCGGAATGCCGTCTTTTTCACGAAGAATGACAGCTTTGTAATTATTACTTTTGCTCTCCACTATTTACAGTTCCTCATCTCCAAACTCCCCAAACTCTCTTTGTTCCCCCTTCCTCAGAACTCTTCTTATTTTAAAGAGTTGCTCTTTTCCTGATTGCATCTAAGTTCTTGATTCCACTTTAATATAGACTCTGCCTTCTCTCCACAGGCCCTTTTCCTCCCACATGTCAAACCTGATTAAAAAAAAATTATTGTGGGCACCATGGTTTACAATACTTACCAGATCTGATTTATGTTGTTGACCAACTGTTTGTGGAGGGATTTGGAATGAAGCCTATGAAAACAGAGCTCTGGCTACTTGCATAGTGTTCCCACTAGGCAGCAGTAGTGTATGGGCTGTAAATGCAAGTTCCTAACCCTTGAAACGGAGTATCAAAAGAGAACACAGAATCCTAGTCAGTGAACACCCCATTCCTTCAACGGCACCCAGAAAGCAGTATAGGGGTGTGAGCACATTTCTTTCTGTAAGGAGACCAATGAAAGACTGGTTATGAGGGTTAGTATGAATTCAAACTGGGTATTGTAGATTTAACAAGAGCCAATAAAAGTGTTGATGACTCCGTCTCAGATTCCTCCACTCCATTAAGTAAGACAATCTTCCTGACATGGAGCTTATTGTCCTATAAAAGTTACAGCATCAGTGGTCTGCTACAACCAGATATAACAGGACGATAGGATTTGTGCACTTCATAGTCTCTTGTAACTTATTTGGCTACAAGATGTAGCCAAATGTTTGTATAGTAATACACAGTATTCTATTGTCTTGATAATAACTTTTGAAATCACTTAGGGTGGTTCCTCAATCTCTGCACTTATTTTTCAAAGTTGTTTTGATTACCCTAGGTCCCCTGACTGTTAGAGTGAATTTTAGAATCAGTCTCACAATTTTTGTAGATAAAATCTTATTAGAATTGAGATAGCTTTTGATAGTCATTTTAATGATGTCTTAATAACAACATCTTAATAATGAAAGAGGAAACCTCAGATTCCCATTGCCAGGTCTTCATTTTAGCTGTCCTCACTCTACATTTTAAATATCCCCACAAGTTCCTGGACTCCTTTTGAGAGTGAGAAGTTTATAATTTTCCAAGACCATAAATTCTGACCCAGACCTTGGAAAGACAAGAAAAGAAACAATACCTGGGCATATGGTGAAATATATAAACTAAACTGTCTGAACTAAAGAGACAGTCCCCACCAGCCTAAGTCTGAATAAAAGATGTTAATTTATCTTAACACCACAAATGAGCCCTAAATTAGCAAGACCTCTGTGTGAAACAGGAAACTGCTGGGATTTTGTTTGATAAGAAACAGGAAAACTTGGGACATGTACACTGGTGGAGGGATGGGAGATGGAACATTGTCTGAATGAAACCTGATCAGCGTTTGCAACTGTGTATATCAGGGTGATTCAACAACAACAAAACAATAAAGGAAAGGAAAACAAAAAAGAAATGCAA